AGGTTGAGGTTCATAATAATGGGTTCAAGCTGTGATGATTCTTTCAGATAGCTGACGAAAAATATGAAGGAAGGTCTAAAAAAGTAAAAAATAATAGAAATGTTTTTACCTAGTTATCGCAACTTGGTCTTGCTGTCAGGGCGACTAAGTAGAACGCACCTAGTAGGAAATCGTCTGCAATAGTAGTTATCATGATTCCCAGCATCAGAAAGTGGACTTGGTACATTCTCAAACGTTTCGCCGACATCGTAGTCGGCATCAACAGTGAGTTTTGTCATTCTCCGCACCAAACTACGAACTGGTCAAAGAGACAAGTGAAGTCAATTTTTGACAAACATTCTGCCGAAAATGGTTACACTACCACTCCACTTTCTGTCCTCGCCCATCTATCTACTCCTTAATCTCTTATCCCACTGCCGCCCTATCACAAATTCTCACTTGTTTACATTCCACTCGTCAAAATAAATTCCGTTTTGTGGCAAATCTAGTGTGGCTTCATCACATTTGCTATTCACCCACATACCCTCTCTTTCGATCGGTTGATATGACTCGAGCCTCCGATCCGGGTCCCCTCATTGTCTCGTAGATACGTTCCTTATCTTTCTGGTTGACCGATTTCACTTGGTTTTAGTCCCAGTGTGCATTTCACACCAGGCGCTATTTCTCAAAGCCCTAGAAGCACGTACACTTCCGCCTCACTGAGCAGAGCGCTTAAGCTCTGATTTACATGCTTGAAGAAATCAGGTCTTCCCTTCACGGGTCCTCTTCTTGATTAAACCCATATTCTCGGAGCAAATTTTGGACGCCTATTTTTGGTCGCACGAGGCATCTCAAGTGGATTTATAGTAAATTTTGGCCATAAGGCCGAATTTCCGTGACGGTTTGCTGATCCGTCTGCCTAGCTGCTTGACTGCCAGGCCAACACAGTTGTACTAGTTTATTCGAAACGGACGTCACGCACTGACGACATCTTCGCTTGATTGCCGAAAACCCCTGCCTCCCACGTTCTTAATCGCGATCCATTTTCCGGTTAGCGGTAGATCCGTGATCCAGGCGTTTCCTTTTTGCTGGTCTTGCTATATTCTTCGAATGCGGGAATAATCCTTAATTTCCAGTCTCATCATAACTACAGACTGAAGATTGGAATACTGAGGAGTTTGATCAACAGAAGCTTACGACTAACAGACAAAAAGTTCTGGAACGAGGAGTTAGACAAACTGACATGGATTTGTATAATTAATGGATACCTCAGAGAATTCATAGAGAAAAAAGTAGAGGTTATAAAGGGCCGATTTCAACTTGGATTTTATGAAAATCAGATCAGCAATGAGGATAACAACCAAAAGTGGATTTGCCTTCCATCATCACAGCTGAGCCAACAATTCCGACCGTTACTTAGGAAATTAAACATCAGGGTGATAACAAAGTAAAAGAAAAAACTTTTTACCAGTCTGCCGACGCAACACGAGAAGACTGACAAACTTGAATTCTCGAGAGTTTATCGCATCAAATTCGGCAACATTGAGCAGAAATATATCTGTGAAACAGGAAGAAAAATCTGCCTACGAATCAAGGAACATCAAAGACTCTGCAGGAACATGGATAGACAAAGATCAGAAATAGCGGAACACATTGCACGGACGGGGCATGAAATCGACTGGAAATCGCCCGATAGGTTGGCTGGATATGGTGAAAACACGAGAAAACACAAGATACAAGAGGCCATCGATATACAAATGAAGATAAATCTAATAAACAGGAGACTTGAAGAAGGCAGGATCAGCGATAATTTTGCATATTGCCTAAATAAACTCGGAGAAGACCAGGAAAAAGCAGGATAAGCAAAAAGAAGATGACTGGATCAAGGTAACATCCTTAATTTTAAGAAAAGTGATCACAAGGGGATGAGAAAGGAAGAATCATAAGCCAAGAGGTGACGTTTTCAGTAAGCCTTATCAAAACAAGTAGAATCACGAAATTTTGTGGGTTGGCACACAAGAGACTAGGACATAAGAAGTGTTAGTTATGGTATTAAAGATAAAAACAGGAAAGACGAGGTGGAGAGTTAAGCTGTTTAGTTAACAATAGACGTGTTTGATCTTTAACGTGATCCTTGAATCACGAACATTTTTAGCCAACCAGCTCTAGCTTCAACTCTTTCTATCCTCTATCTATCTATAATACCAAGCCTATTACTTCCTATGCCCTAGTCTCTTATGTGCCAACCCACAAATGTTGTGGTTCAACATTGAACCAAATCAAAACAAGCTGTACCACAACATTTTTGGGTTGGCACACAAGAGACTATGGCATGTTAAATCATAGACTTGTTATTAGAAATAGAAATAGGATAGAGACGGCGGGGACCGGAGCCAGTTGGCTGACGGTAGGTCTGTTGTTCCAGAGACGTGGTACATGTAGCAAAGGGGTGACCATGACACTCAGAGACTTACGCCTCGATTTAGTCACCTAGACGCAGTTGATGGCGAATAACGCCTCGAGTAGGACAGATTTTTTGGCAGGAGTCTAGTGAAATAGGTGAACAACGTGTAGGGCAGACGGATTTTACGGAACAAGAGGGAGACTGGGATAAGACTAGGGAATAGGACTGCATAATAATAATGCAGACTCTGATCTACATTCCCTACACAAGGATGAATGGTGGGGTTGGGAACGACAGTTGGAGTGTGAAGGTGTCATGTTGCTCAAAGGAGCCCACCACACTATCTAAATAAACCCGGTAAAAATTGTAATAGGTTGCTACAAGAAACGCGAATAACCCAGGGCAAAAGGGGAGATACCACAATTGTTTAGTACAGGTTTGGCCAAAAGATCGGCTTCACTTGTCTATTTGACGAGTTATTGTATGGTGCTAAGAATGGCGATACTCACTGACGATGCCGACTACAATGCCGGCTAAACGTCTGAGAATGTACCACTACACGGTTGAACTTTGGAAATGATCATGCAGACAATGGACTCCGGACTAGGTGCGTTCCAATAAGTCTTCCTACCAATA